TTTTTTTATCCACCATCTTCAATATAGGGCAAAGGGTTTCATCATAAGGGGAGAGAAATGAGGGACTATACTCAGGTATAGCAGCACACGTTCCCTTGGCTTATAATTCGTTGCATAAAATGTAACATCATTGCTATATCTACATCTACCTGAAAATGTGTCTGGAAATGTGGTCTGCCTGTGTGCCTAGATAGAAATTTTTTAAGACAATTCCTCTATAGAAAATTTTGTTTTTAGATACACATCAGAAACAAGTATCAACAAATGTGAAATTATCAGCAACCACAGTAATTTATTTAACAGAAGTCGTGGGTATGTCCCTGCACTCAAGGCCTTGTTAAGTCGTTTGCTAACTGCTTTGAGATAATAAAAAAGAGAATAAAGGGATTAATTAAATACCTCACAAAGAATCTAAAGTAAACAAATAAAACAATAATGATAATAATAATATATATTAAATAATTATCCATTTTAACTGTCAATTATTGTGGAATTGCTTTATTTAGGTATACCTTTTAGAGAGGTATTGGTCCTAACAGTGAAAAGAATTACACTGAAGTTATTTTTCTGTAAACTCCTAATAAATTGGTTAATTATTAAAGAGAATTTATATTTTATTACAAGTTAACAGGTTTGCATTAAACTCATTCAAATATTTTTTCTCTTTTGATATTGCACATCTTGAAACTGAATTAGAAATATTTCTGAGTCCCATCAATAGCAACTTGAATGTTGTTCCATTTTATCATTATGTTTTTTATTTAACTTTTTATCTAAAAAGAATACACTTTAACAAAGAATATATAAAATAGTAATAAGCAAAAATGTGAACATTACCACCAAAATTATTATTATCAGAAAGTTATTTTAAAGAATTCAAATTTGTTATTCCAGAATTTTTCTATGAATATGTTAGTTTTTTGTTTAGTTTAATTTTAGACAAATGAGATCACTTTGTAGTCTGTTTTTCCCACTCAATATTATATCATGAACATAATCACATATTCTGCATTTTTAAACAACTCTTAGTACTTCATAACATGATACATGAAAATTCAGTAAGCCAGTTCCTCAATACAATGAGCTTACATCCAGTTATTCATTGTTTCAAATAAGTTGCAGGAACATCTCTGTGGTTGGATCTTTGCCAAACAATCATATTAGACTATGCCTAGAACATCAAACCCTGAGTTCCCAAATTTTTAGTTTACATAAGAATCACCCTGGTGACTTATTCAGATTCCCAAGCCTTAATAATGGAGATTCTGATTAGGCAGATCTAGAATAGGGCCTGGGAGTCTGGATTTTAGCAACACCTTCTGTAATTCTCATGCAGGGGGTTCGAGCATCACATTTTGAGAAAAAAATGGCTTAAAGATATTATAAATACTGTTGTTTTCTTCAACTCCTTGCAAAAAATCCATTTTTCCAGCAATAACATATTATACACATTGCCTTGGTGCTCCGTTTCACAATTCTTTCCAAAGTAAGGCTATTTAACATCCTGCCTTGTACCTGATGAAGTTGTTCCATTTATTTTTGAAATATAATTGGTACATATTGATCAGGATTTTTTAAAAAGCCACTTATACTGGTTTTGATTAGAAATGTTAGGATATAGACATCTACTGCTTCATCATTTTTTGTAGTCAGGATAAAAACACTGCACTTTATTTTTAATAGAGGTTGTTCTCTCAAAAATGGTACTTCTTGAGGTGGTTTTATCCAAAAGAGAATGTCACAAACATTAAGTCTTTTATCAGGTAACCAGGGTTATATGAAACATTTCTGCAGTTGCAATGCTATTGCCAGAGTGAGCAGTTAACTTTGGTGATGTACAGTCAGTGCTTAGCTCGGCTAGACTCATCCTTTGCTCTTCTTTTTCATGTTTATCCTGAAGAAGGGCATCTTCACCCTTAAGTCATTAACTTCTCTGGAGAAATGTGTGAGGCAAATTATGACCTGGTAGCAATCCAAGAGTGTGGGTTCAGTTTACAGTTCTGTCCTTAGGTGAATACACAGAGTCCATGCACAGAGGCTCACTTTCTCAGGCCGAAAGCTAAGAATGTCACGTGTGTACATTTTGTCCTTACTTTCTATATTTGCCAGGTCACTAAACATCAATTTTGCCTTTGGCTATTGTAAAACTCGGAGCATATCAGAACTGGAACTGGTCTTAAGTTTCATTTTGTACAACCTTTTGATTTTATGTCTAAGGAAATAAAAGCCCACAAAGGTTAAATGACTTCTTAGCACCACCTAAGTAATTAGTGGCAGAGTCAGGCCTTGAATCTCTCTCCTGATTCATTCTACAAGGATTATAATTAATTTCCAATGTTGATGTAGGGCCGCCCTGGTCTCCGTTCTGCTATATTTTAAAATGAAAATGTGAGGCTTATTAAGGTATGATCAATTACTGCCCTATTCTTTTCTAGTAATCCGCACCCTGCCAGAGACCATACTTGCTAGAGGTAGTGCAGAATAGTGGTTCTTAGCTCCAGTTTTAACTAAAAGGGATTTGAGTTTGGATCTCAACTTTCTAGTTATCAACTATCCTGGCTTGCTTGGGACTGGGGTGCTTTCCCAGACATGGGGCTCTCAGTGGCTGGTGACCAAGGCATGCTGTTTTACAGGCCTCTGTTTCTTTATGTGTAAAAATTGAAAAGTAATAGGACCTAACTCGGAGGATTTCAGTGAAGTTTAAATGAGATAGTATATGTAAAACACAGCACCATTTAATAAGGTTTCAATAAATGTACTCATTATTATTATTTAATTTCTTCCCGTTTTATTGAGGTATAACTGATAACAACAGTGTATGTTTAAGGTGTATCAGCACAATGATTTGACTTACAAATACCGTGAGATGAAAAAAATGTTTTTTTTTTATTTAAATAAATAGAAGAAGAAAATATTATTTTTCTTGTGATTAGACTGTTAGGATTTACATTCTGAACAACTTTTATATATACCATACAACAATGTTAATTAAAGTTATCATGTAGTATATTACATCCCAACTGTTAATTTATCTTATCATTGGAAGTTTGTACCTTTTGACAATCTTCATCCACTTTCCCCTCCTGCCTTCCCTACTTCTGGTAACCACAAATCTGATTTCTCTTTTTTTAAAAAAATTTTTATGAGTGTTTATTTTATTTTTTTAGATTGTTATATAAGTGAGATCACACAGAATTTGTTTTTCTCTGTCTGACTTATTTCACTTAGCATACTGCCCTCAAAGTCCATCCCTATTGTCACATTGCAGATTTCCTCCTTTTATAAGCCATTATTCTTGTTGTTATTAATGTTGTTTACAAAGCAGGTAGATTTCTCAAAACATAGGTTCTCAGAATCTAGATCGTTATATTTAGGATTTGAAATAAATAAATTTTGTTTTTAGCTTTGACCTCTTCTTTGCCTTCTGGGTGCCCTTCTTTTATCCTATTTATCCAGAAAATTAGACAGTAAAATCCAAGGCTGAGCGGAGTCTACCATTGCATACCCCTTCACAGTTTTCAATATATAAATCAGAAAAAGATACCACTTTTCCTATTTGTAAAGCAGTATGGGTAAGTGAAGCATCAAAGACAGCATAATGCTACAAAACGATAAAGGGAATAGCCTGGATTATAATAATAAAAGCTACTATTTTGTTGAGTGAAAACTCGGTGCCAAATATTGGTGCTTGACATACTTCATATTTCTTCTCCAGACGATGAACTTGAGAAGTATATATTATTATCTTCACTGTTCAGATCTAAAACCAACCTTGGTGAGCCTAAGTTACTTGCCAAAAGATTATAGTATAAAAAGGAGTGCAGCAAAGATTCTAAACTAGGTTTGGACTCTACAAAGTCAGTACACTTTGGGGGAAAGTATTTTGCCTCCCTGGGCTAGTTTCTTCACCAGTAAAACTCAAAAGGAAAGTAAATTGCCATTCATGATGACTTACCACACAGCACGCGCACTGAGCTATACACATTCCATGCATGATCTCATTTCATTCTTGTGGGTAAGTATTATTCCCATTTTTATAATAAAGAAGCAGAAAACTTAGGGAGATTAAGAAACACTCTAAGCACACAACTAGCAAAGTGGTGAGGCAAGGATTCTGAAACCCAGCATACTATCTGATAACATTTGGTGACTATCATTCTGAGCATATGGATGTAATCAATGTTGCAAGAGAAGACTTTTCAACCACTTGAAAATAGTTATTGCTCATATAGCATTATATATATATTTTCAAGTAGAATCAGATTATCAAAATTTATACTTTATTCTTGACTTGCTCTGGCATGTAGATAACATGGATCAAATTTGCAAAATTTAGCTGTGATTTACATAATATTCTATGGAGTCCTCAGATATTCTTTTTTTTTTTTTTTTAATTCTCCTCACACAGTTTTATTGTAAACCTTTGCAAAGAATATTCAAGTAACATGTAACACAAGAAAATATGTATTACAAATATGGTCCTAAGTAAGAAGAAAAAAAGATGACTCATTTTCTTCTTCTCTCTTCAGGCATGTGCAATTAGGTATGTCATATGTCTATATATATATTAGGGTAAATTTTTTGCAGTTGATTTCATAGAAGGTAGAAACATATTTTGATTTACTCTCTATTTTATAGAATTTAAGCACAAAGCTTGTAAGTTCTAAGATTATTGAAGAGTTTAGTTAACTATAACAAGTGAGCCATTCTAAATGTACTGGTGAACTAATTTACTGTTTAAAAAATAAATCTAGATTTTGGTAATTACTTCTAATCTTTTCAGCAAATATAGTTCTGTTAACGTCATCGTTTTCCGGACCGCAGGCCGACGCTTTAACCGCTGAGCCAAACTGGCCAGGGCAATGTCATCGTTTTCTAGTTAGCATTTTTCATGTATAACTTCCTCTTACCTTCTTTCTCTGAAAGTATGAAGCCATCATGTAATGATAAATAACAGGACTTTTGTTGATTACATGTACTTTCTTGGACTTTTGCCTTAGGCCTCCGAGGAAACACTGCATTCCAGTAATGAAGAGGAAAACCCTTTCCGAGGCATGGAACCCTATCTTGTACGGAGACTCTCATGCCGCAATGTTCAGCTTCCCCCTCTTGCCTTCAGACAGTTGGAACAAGCTGACTTGAAAAGTGAATCAGAGAACATTCAAAGACCGACCAGCCTCCCCCTGAAGATTCTGCCTCTGATTGCTATCACTTCTGCAGACTCTAGTGGGTGAGTGCCCTTGGGCGACATTTCCGCATTTTATGTTTTGAATGGTGATTGCTTTCTGTGGTCTTTTGAGATTTTGTGGCTCATTGTTTGACTTGTATGGGAGGAAAATGGAGTTGCTAGAACCAAAAGAAAGAAGGGTGATTTTTCTCAGGTAACATCACTACCTTTGCAGGAGTAAATGTTATAGTTAAAATGTTTTATGTGGAGTTGAAAAGTATTGGTGAAGAATAATAAGCATTTGGGAAAGGGGACTTTGACTTATGGAATTAATATTAGTCATATGTAATTTAATAGAAAATTCTTAACAAATGAGAACTAATGGACAAATCATGTAGGCGTACAATATCTGGAAACAGTTTAGGCAATGTTCATTGGTGAAAAGTGAATTTGGAATCAAGAATAGATTGTATTGTAATTAGAATCAAAGGAAATATGCAATTATATTCATGAACCTAATAATTTGGCCTTTGACACTTTGAGGTATTGGTTACCAGAATACTGCTTCAGTTCCCAGCACCAGACGGTCTTATTTTGGGTATAGAAGACTGATACACAGTTATGTATCCATATGTACTTCCTGCTTTGCAGAGTATTTGTGTGTTTATTCTTTTGGTCCTGTTTACCAATGTTTTCACTCACTTATAGCCACCAGGTAAACAACTATGAAAGAAACTGAGGATAGTGGGCACATGCATTATTTGTTCTTTTGGCCAGCTGCATTTTTAAGATACATGGATATAAAAGAAAGAAGAGGAAGCTAGTAGCCCATACTTGGACAGACTCTTGAACATTTTCTAAGACAATAAGGACAAAATAATTTATATGTTGTAAATACATTCTCTGCCAAGTTCAAGTCATGTCTAGAAAAAGTTACTTTTGGGTTTTTCTAAAGGATGTTAGGAAAGTTGTGAACAGAAGAAACTTGGCCAATAACTGTTATTTAAGATATTGAGTTTAGCTGTTTGAATTGTTACAGACAAGTTAAAAAGACCTATGTTATTAAAAGGTATGAAGAAATTACTACTAGGTAAATAAAAAGACAACACATTCTTACTTTGAAGCAATGGAAAGAGGAGCTATATGTTGGTGTTTGTTTTTGTTTTTTGAATGAACCATGCATACAAAGAAGAATGTGTACCTATTGATCAGATACACTGAAGCAGGTGAGAATTTGCTATGAAAGCTTGACCTGAATGTTTGTTGGAAACTACTGTCTCAAAAACCAATCTTCTCTCCCTTTGAGATCAATACCACTACCATTTATCTGTGTAGAGGGCAGAGTTCACAAATACCAGGTGTGTCGGGAGTTATCAAGACCACCCTGAGGTTCCATGGTTTACTAGGAGAGCTCCCAGGATCCAGCAACCAGTCATATTTATGGCTAGGATTTACTACAGCACAGTAATACAAAACAAAATCAGGAAAGATAAAGGCCCATGGGGCAAAATCTGGAAGAATCCAGACACAAGTTTCCCAGAGTCCCCTCTCCTAGCAGAATCAGAAAGGATGTACTTAATTCCCCTAGAAATCAGTTGTGACAACACATGCGAAATGTGTTCAGCGGGGAAACATTCTAACAGGGAAGCCTGATGAATCATTGCTTACATGAGTTATCCAAAATAGCCAAACTCATGGAAACAGAGTAGAATGGTAGTTGCCAGGGACTGAATATAGTGGAAATGGGGAACTGCTATTTGATGAGTATATAGTTGCAATTATGCAGAATGGATAAACTCTAGAGACAACATGGTGCCTATACTGAACACTATTTTATTGTTCATTTAAGAATTTTCCAAGAGTATAGAACTCATATTAAATGTTTTTAACACAATGAAAACAAACAATTCAAAAAAAGAAAAGTAGATTCAGTGCCCAGAGTTGTTTTGGGGGCTTAGGTACCCTCTGCCTAGCATGTGCATACATTCCAGATTCCCAGTAGAAAAGCAGTTGTTCAGCATAAACTACGTCTCTTGCACAGTTTAGGCACAGTGAGCCACTCACTTTTTAGAGAGTGGTGGGAACCCTTCTGAAATCCACATTCCCAGATGCCAGCTAAGGGCCAACCTTTTAAACAGACTTTTTAAACGATAACAGTCTCAGGCCTGATGTTAACCCTACTGCACAGCAGGTTTATCTTAGCATCATTATCTTGCTTGGCTATATTTGAAGAAGAAATTATAATTAAAATAAAAATAAAATAATTTAAGCCTGTGATGGATTTAATTAACTTTGGTATCTTAAAAAATGTAGTAGCTAACCATGATTTCTCATTCTAAACTATTATTATGTCACGTGCCCTTAAAATAAAATGATGTAGCCTGGATGGTGTGGCTCAGTGGTTGAGTGTGGACTCATGCACCAAGAGGTTGCTGGTTCAATTCTTGGTCAGGGCACATGCCCAGGTTGTGAGCCGGATCCCCGGTGGGGGCCATGCAGGAGGTGGCCAATCGATCTTCTCTCTCATTGATGTTTCTGTTTCTTTCCCTCTTCCTTCCTCTCTTTCTAAAAGCAATATAAAAAATAAAATGATGTAGTATATTTAATATATCTCTATGGAGTTGGGCAATATGTATAATTAAAAACCTCAGGTAACAGCTAAGCTTATTTAATTAAATTTAAAAATGTTGCTGAAAACAAATAGTCTCCAAGTGCAAAGGAACTTAGAGGTTCAGAACTGTCTGTATAATGGCACTTCTGTTGGTTCAAAGTTTTTTCCTTCCTCATCAAGAATCTACAAATCAAGTGTAAGAAAAATTGTGTTTATCATTTACCAACTTATTCAGTATTTTGGAGGAGAGAATTTGTGCTTTAGAGAAATGAAACAAGATACTTTTCTGTACTAGAAGGCAGCCAGGAGAAACCAGGGACCAGAATGGCCAATCAATAAAAAACAAAAACTCAGGTTGTACTAAAAGGATTGCTGTTATCTTAGGAAGTAAAAATGATTTGTAAATTGAGTATTTGCGAACTAGAAAATATAGGAGTATAAGTTTCTGGAATGTCTGAGCTTTAAAGGGGAAATAGAAGGTAAAATTAGGGGTTATATTCTGTAGCCATTTCACTTAACCAAGAACCTCAACTTTCTTCAAATCTATCAGAAAGAACTAGTGGGAAATTTAGACTATTTCAGCTAGAGTTGTCTATAGCTCAGATCCGCATTATTAAAGGTTGGTATGCCCCCAGGTCCCATTGTCAACCTACACAGAGACATTGGCAATTGTAAATCTTGGATGGCCTTTGGATTTATTTTTCTTACTTTATTAACATCATAACTTTTGGCTTTCTTCTGGCACAGCAGTGCGTCAGACACCGGCTCTGTCAAGTGTCAGGCAGTGGTTCAGAGACTCGTGCCGTCCCTTTAGGAAGCCTCGCCGGGGTCCCGTCGGAACTGGTTTCTGTAGGGAGCTTTGGCCTACAAAAATGAATGTTCTGAAAGGCAGTTATTAGCTTCATTATGAAATGTTTGGGTCAAGAGACTGAATTCAAGAGAGCTTTTAAAAATGAACACTTTCATAATTATACTTTGGGTTTTTACCAGGCATTGTGAATGTGTTCAAATGCACTCTATTTAACAGTTCTCTTTGAATATGCCTAAGGTTTTAAGTTGTGTGCGTTGGGATTTAGCAGCCTTTGGAACCTATCAATGATCAGAAAACAGAATTGTGAGACCTGGGATGCTGAGAACCTTCAATTCATGTACCAGTTAATTTTCCATGTAGAGTAAGATGAACTCAGGCCTCATGGCTATTTATTGACTTTCACTGAAGTAAGAGGGGCATCTATTAATGGTTTTAAATGTTATTAAACTGGCAAGGAATTAATTTGAAATGCCAAAGCTTTCTGTATTTGTCTCCTGAATAGTTTTCTATACATTTACTTAAAACAACAACAACAACCACCTTTTTGTGTTGGTATAATATGCAGGAAATAAAATCTGCAAATTTTAAGTATACATTTAGATAAATTGTTACATATTTAGACACCCATGTAAGTAATCACCCCATCCCACCCCCGATCTCCTAACTTCTATCACTAAAGGTTTGTTTTGCTTCCTCTTGGATATTATATAAAAGGAATCATATCATGTGCTCCTTTTTCTGGCTTCTATTACTGAAAGTGTTTTTTGATATTTATTATGTTGGTGTACGTATCAGTTGCTTGTTCTTTTTTATTGCAGAGTAGAATTCCATTGTTTGACTATATCATAATTTACTTATCCATGCTCCCTTATTGATGGATATTGGGTTGTTTTTAGTTTGGAGCTATTGTGAATAAAGTAACTGTACACATTGCTATATAGGTCTTTTTGTGGACATATGCACTCATTGCCCTTGGTTATATTCCTAGAAGTGGAATTTCTGATTCATAGGTAGGTAAATATTTATTTTTATTATTGCCCAATAATTCTGTATAGGAGTTCTGTTTGTTCTGTATCCTCACCAATACTGGGCATTCTTAGTCTTTTCAATTTTAGCTGTTCTGGTGAATGTGTAGTGGTATTTTACTATGGTTTTAATTTATATTATCCTGATGAGTAGTGATATTGTTTATTTTCTAATTTGTTTATTAAACATTTGGATATCTTCTTTAATGCTATATCTATTTAAATATTTGTCCAATTTTTCTTTTATTTATTCATGGGGGTGTTTATATATTCTAGACATGAATCTTTTGTTAGCTATATGAATTGTAAAATGAATATTTTCTCTCAGACCATGGCTTGCATTTTTACATTCTTTACTTTTAATATGGTGGTAACCCCATCCTCTCTCAGTGTGTGTGTGTGTGTGTAAGGAAAGGTGTCAGAGTGAAAGGTCAGGGACAGAGAAAAGAGAGGATAGGAGAGATGGCAATCAATTAGGTGGGAGAAAAGAGAAGGATAGGCAGGGGGAGGGGAATCAATGAAAAGAGTGAAGTGTTCAGGTGGAGAAGACAATGGAAAGTGATAAATGGACACAGCTTGATAAAGAGAAAGAAAGTGACAAGAATGACACTTAACC